GTGTTCACTGCTGTGTGTGTGTTCACTGCTGTGTGTGTGCACTTAGGATGGGTTAAACACAGAGCACTAATTCCTAGTATGGGTCCATACTTGGCCACATGTCACGTCACTTTCACTTTTTCACTTTCACAATTAATCCAGAACGCGGCAGCAAGATTAACTTTCTTCCATCTTTATTTGACCCTCTAATTCTAGCACTCTCTATTCTAATTCTATTCTTTAAAAAAACACTTTTAGACTTGCACTCAATTAATTTACTAACTGCTTGTTTTCTTAAAAAAAGCTTGCTCTATTCTTTTTCTATTCTATCTTCTATTCTATTCTATTTCCTTTTTATTTATTATATAATTTAAAAAAAAACTTGCTACAAGTACTGCGTTAAGCTAACTGAGACTTGTTATAGCACTTGCATATCATTGCTCTCTTGTTGATTTTGATTGCTTCCATTGTCCTCATTTGTAAGTCGCTTTGGATAAAAGCGTCTGCTATATGATTAAATGTAAATGTAAATAAATGCTGTTCATTTGAACTTTCATAACAAAAAAAAAAGTTTCCAAAAAATATTAAGCAGCACAAAAGTTAACACTGATAATTAGAAATGTTTCTCGAGCAGCAAATCAGCATATTAGAATGATTTCTGAAGGATCATGTAAAATTGAAGACTGGCGTAATAATGCTGAAAATTCAGCTTAGCATCACAGGAATAAATTACATTTTAAAATATATTGACATAAAATACAGTTATTTCAAATTGTAATAATATTTCAGATTTTGTACTCGAGCTTTAATCAAATAAATGCAGCCTTGGTGAGCATAAGAGACTTCTGGCAAAAACAAAACTTTTGAACAGTTGTGTATTTTCTGTGCTATTCAACATTATGCCTGTCAATACAGCTTAACTTGTATTGAACCCATTTTGCCACTTTATACATGATTAGAGCATTATGCGCTCTAGTCCTGCTTTTCATCAGTGTTCAGGCTGAATGTTACTTGTGTACAACAGAAAAAAAATACTTTGAGACTCTTTGTTTTTCCTGTACATAGTGGTGTATATTTTGGGTCATATGTTAGACTGACGCAGTCTTTCTTCTCTATTTCTTCCTCTCAATAATTGTAACCTCACATGTAATTAGCTGACAAGTATGGAAATCAAAACATTCAACATTCAAATGATTATGGGTTTACACAAAATCAGCATTTACTGACACAATGTCATGTATTTGTGCTACCACAAGAAGTAGTTCAGGTTTACATCAAGATTGAGAAAGCTGCATTTTTGTCTCGATAACAATATTCTGGAAAACAGTAACAACCTGTGATATTATAACTAGATACTTCAAAACAGGATCCCGGGTGAACAGTCACACCGGGCTTCTCTACAGGGAATATAAAGAGTGCCTCAACACTGCTGACATTCAAAGTGTGGGCACCAGCTGCTGTCTTTACCAAAGTAAGCTCACTTCTGCTTCATAAGGAGGATGACATCAATCTACCACACACAATACACAATTTGAAATTTTGCCAGATTGCTTTCGGATGAGTTTCACGGGCAGGCCTGTGACAATCCCATGATGCATCGCAGTTACATTTAAGTAGTTGTAGAGTGTTTCCTACACCTGCTATATTTCAGTATCCCATTCTGAGGGACACTTTAGGGTCATATTAATATCTAGTAGTAACTTAGGGAAACTTATTTATATGACTATTCTAGTACTATATGGAAAAACAATGGAAAATTTAATGCAAGGCAGTTTCACAATTTACATTTACATAACTATTTGAGGTGCAATACCTCGCCATACAGGAGAGGAAATCTCACAAGTATGGTTCATATAGACTTAAAACCTTTGCGATTTGAATGTTTCTTATCTAGCACATGCGATAGTTATAGAAGCAAATAGCACCTTATATATAGAATGGCTTATTATAAGGGAATACAGTTATTTTTATAGTACCAGATTGACCTCTACAGTAAAAAAAAGGGATAATAAATCACACTATGGAGAGGTAAAAAGCAATCTGCCATGCATTTTCTGCCAGTTGTAAACTAATTAATATCAGAGAATGTTTTTCTGCTTTAATAAATCGGATTAAGAACTGACCTGCATGTGCAAGGCTGTTGTAGCTGGCATCAAGGGAATGTTGAGGAGTATTGTTTTAATTTAGAAACCCATAAATACAGTATATGCTGAGCTTTGAATGTAGATTTTTTCAGAATCTTACTAAGCATTTGTAATAGCACTCAGGAACATTTGCTGACGTTTTATGAGTTTGTATGTGGGTCATGGGGTTTTATCCTAAAGAGTATAGTGTTAAAAGAAGTTTGAAGGTAATTTGGAAATGGGTGAATTTAAGGATGGTCATTGATCATTTATACAAACGTCAATCTGAAGTTTCTACCAGCCATCCTATAAAAGACGAGTGTTTAATTGGTGTACATTTCACTGACAATTTCATCAGCCTGTTAACATATGATATATAACTTTGAGTATTTAGTTACCATTATAGAGCATTTACAGTTATGTAACACATTTATACAAAAATGGGAGTGATGATATGAATGTACTGAGATATGAAAGGTATCGTGTGCTACACTGTAAAAAAAAATCCGTACAATTTACGGTAAAAAACTGGCAGCTGTAGTTGCCAGAATTTTACCGTAAAAAAATACGGTAGCAACGTTTTAGGTTTTACGGTTTTAACTTAAAATTAGGGTTAAATACCGTAATTTCATTAACTGATGTAATGTCAATATACCAACCTATTGAAGTACTGAAATCTGTTTTGTACCTTTGTAATACACTGATAACCACCAAATGCAGGTGGTGATGAGAAAGTCACATGATGAACCAAAAGCCCATCACAAGCAGCTTTTAAATATTAACATATATAGAAGGTGCACAGTGTCATTCACACAAACACTAAACACCATCATGGTAACACACATGGAATTGAAATAATGCAATAAACATTAATTTAACAACATTAGGTGTAACACACAATCCTAATATACAAAACTGATAAGAAAAAACTAAGAAGAAACAGTTATTTCAACAGAAAAACATCACATTTGAAATGTAACGCAGGGAATTCTGGGAATGTCAATTTACAGTTATTCACTGTAAATTATACGGTCTTTTTCACTTCCAAAAACGGTATACTACCGTAAAATTACGTGTAATGTATCCACCGTATATAATAGGGGAATTTACCGTTAACCATTTAACAGATTTTTACTTTAGCATTTTTACAGTCTTTTACCGTTAAATTCACGGTCATTTTTTACAGTGTACAGTATGATTGTACATTCAACACATTTTGATCTTCTCAGAATTTATTGCTCAGATGTTGCTCTTTCAGTGTTCAAGTTCTCGGTTGCACATCAACTTTTTTTCAGATGTATCTGCTAGAATTAAACAGATACAAATTAGACATTTATTAACATACAGAAGAAGAAAAAAATGCTAAAATTTGCTGAAAATTTCCTCACCCTAAGGTCATCCAAGTTGTTTATGAGTTTGTTTCTTCATCAGAACAGATTGGAAGAAATATGCATTAAAAAAAAAAAGAAAATAAAAGCCAATACGTTCTCAGGTGCATAGAACAAGAAGTATAATCAACCAGGTAGCCAAAATGGTCTGCACACTGGAAACATGCAATCAGACCAAAAATATATATTTTATTTTTCATAAGCAAAAGTGACAAAAATGCAGTGTCTTAAAAACAGACCAAAGAGTAGACGTTTCAGCCCATGCTTTCTTCTGTGCTCAATTAATTAGTAATTGTGCCTATAAAAGTGTGATGTTGCTGTTTGCCTCATGAGCACTGAAGAAAGCATGGGCTGAAATTGGTCTGTTTTTTAAGACACCTTGCATTTTTGTCACTTTTTCTCTTTTTCTTATGAAAAAGAAAATATATATTTTTGATAGACCTTTTTTTTTTTGGTCTGATTGCATGTTTCCAGTGTGTGGACAATTTCAGATTCAATTTTGCTTCTTACAAACACGCAGCTTTTCATTTCACAAGCTGTTAATTGATGAACTGGAGTTTTGTGGATTATTGTGATGTTTTTATCGGCTGTTTAGACTCTCATTCTGACGGCACCCATTCACTGCAGAGGATCCACTGGTGAGCAAGTGATGTGATGCTACATTTCTCCAAATCTGTTCCCATGAAGAAACAAACTGACGAGTAAATGTTCATTTTTGGGTGAACTATTCCTTTGAGCAAAAGTCTGCATTCAATCTTATTGCTGTTTTGGAGAAACAATTGAGATATTAAAGAGATCTTATTTGTGATTTTTCTTTCTTATGAGTTTTTAATAAGTCAAGATTCACCTAATACAAATTGTAGAAACTCTTTGTGAGCAAAATAAGTCAAATTAATTCTGTGGTTGTACATCAGAAAGAAGTGAGATTCTCAGAACATTGTGTTCCCAATCTGTTGCTGCAGAGAAGATACCCCATGCCTTAATGTAAAGTACGCAAGCAGAAACGTTGCTGATATTCACTGTTTGTATTTGAAATGTAATGAATCCTTTATGTATTATATGTGTATTATAATGTGTAAAATCTATCATATTGTTTGTTTGATTGTTATTCGTCTATTCTAGCCCATTGTAACCATGTTATTTTCACAGTATTGTCTCTGTGTTATGTGAATGTGTTATCATACATTGCCTTTCATTGCCAAGATGATATAGATTGCTGAGTCCAGTCTCCTTGAATTAGTGTGGTAATATGTACCACTATGATACAGATGGAGAATATTTATTAGTATGATACAAAAGTATGTACTGAAATTAAATATGATCAGGTGGGTGCACATTGTACACCTTTTAAATCTTGACTACCTTGACATGCTGTGTGCAAATAGGCTAATGTTTTGGGCTGCTATAAAAAATGGTAAAAAATAA